CAGCAAAACCTGGTGGGATAATGTCGATAGACGATGTTAACTTTGCGCCGCATGATGTGTGGACATGGATAGGGGAAGAAAGCTCCTTACCTTACAACAAGTTAACATGGTGTCCACGAAGTGTGTGCCTGGGGATGCCACCAGGGGGAACACTGTATACCAAGTGAAGTAGTGGAGGAATGCAAGATAGGTAACAAGTCGGTAAGTCGAGTACTTGGTGAATTCTAAAATAACTTGGTAGGGAACAAGTTACATGGGGGGTTTACTAGGAATGCATTAAATCTAAGGGCAAGTTAACATTAATTGTTCTTTCGAGGGGTTTTGGTTTGAACGCCAGGTGGGAATGTTGGATTTTCCCCAGGGTTATTGTCGCCAAAAGAATCGACCACTCACTTCTCGCTAGCCATGGGACTTTCATCTTTTATCAGTTGCCATAGCTTGTGGCTGGCTGGGTGGTTTTTAGAGTAATGAAGCAATGTTCGTACTAAATGCCAGAAGATGACATTGTAGTGATATCAGAGTCGCTGGTTTCACCACTGAGAGAAGGCACAACGCTATCACTATCCTGAGCCACAGAGTATTCCTCGAGTACCTTGCAACCCTGGTAGAATTTGAACGAGACAAAAAAGAAGTCAGAGAGTCCTCTTTGTTGAAGGAAACGGTTGAATGATTTCCGTGGCAGGATCAGGCACTCACTTGACTGCTTCTTTTGCTATTTGTCTGGCTTGTCCTGGATCTCAAAGCTGGTCTGACAGTGGAATGTTGATTCTCTCTATCACGGTTGACCATTTTGGGGAAGAAGGTGTTTGTAGTGCCCACAATCCCTTTCCCATGTGTGAAGTAGATCCACCTTGTTGTCATCGATGAACCAACTTTGGAATAATACTGATCAGAATTCTCCATACTTGTTTGATAGCCCAATTTGCCTATTAACGAAGTCCTGTTGGTCGAGGTTTGTACCGAGGAGCCCATCCACTGCCACACCAAGCTCCGCTCTCTCCCATATGAGTGTGGCTGCGGTTGCCATCTGCGCCACCCACTCAACGTGTCCATAGTACTCCCAGCTGTAGTAATCTCTATTTCTCCTGGACTTGCCATGAATCTTTTTTTCAGCTCTCCCACCATGAGATCGATGAAGAATCTGCCATAGAGCAGTGAGTTGTCGGGAATCTCCCCGGAACGCGGGTCTTCGCCGAGTGCAAACAAACAAACCGATGCACTTGGACACTGATTAAATAGGGGACCATACCTACTTTTCCCTGGTATATGAAATAATAATGAGAACAAGCAAGCCAAAGATGTGAACGAGGCATTTGCAATAACAGCCATGTTTGCCCTCCTCAAGGGACGACTATCCAAACAGTGGGCGCAACGCCAGGATCAACACCTCAAGGAATGCAATCTCAAAACACATCGGAAAAATGGCCAAACCTGGCTCACAGGGATTATTCAAGAATTGCTCACCCAGTGGTTCGAACTCTGGGAGGCCAGGAATCATGATCGGCATGGCAAAGACGCACAAACCAAGGCACAAGCAGCCAACCGACAGGTTATCCATGAACTTCACAGCTGCTATATGACAAATACACCGGAAACAGGTATGGCTTCTCCAAACACCAATCAACACAAGATCCCAATGGCCCACAGCATCAATCCGACAATGGATCAACACATGGGAACCTGTCCTTGAAGAGAGTTACGCCACACAGCTTGAGACTGGGTAATTGATGCGGGACCTCCACTTCCCATCCTTCCAATTCCCTCCTGCGTCCGCTTCCGCCCCTCCTTTTCTCCCTCCATCCAACCCACCAAGTAACTCTCCCTGAATCCGTTCGGCCAAACCCACAAATCAGTTAGGAATATATGTCCGGCAAATCCACACGAGATATGCCATTTATACTTACATGTAACTTTAAATGCACCATCTCCCCTAGGGAGTGTGGTGCCGGTGAGGGAACCAGTGGTGGTCTCCTGTGAAACCAATCCCCGCTTCGGCCGGGAGCGGTTACCCAAAGCTTCGGCTGCAGCACAGTGATGATCCGTCCATTGGGGCCATATCCGTTATAAAGATTTTTTTTTCTTCAATAACAGCCATGTTTGCCGGAGATCAAGAATCAGCTAGGCCAACAAAGAACAAACAACTTACACTTTCCAATGGTGTTGTTCAGGTGCCTCCTAATGTATTGGATCTGCTCGTTGAATTCCTCGAAAATGCATCTCTCCATCTGAAAAATCCTGCGGGCTTTTTTAGTAGGGTTCAATGTTTCGCTGTTGTAGTAGCTAGCATGTTTGACTTGGGAATGGAGGTTTCGAATTGATGTGGGATGTTTGGCTTTGAAAAATGATAGAAAACATCTGGTTCCATGTTTGAATCGTAGGCTGATGAAACATCCGCTCAAAATGTGAAACATTATGCACGCCAGCCAGCCCACCTAAATCCATTCGAAAGGAGGAACAAACAAGGGGACCCCGAACAAACAGTAACAAAAATCCAACGCACCCATCAGCAAAAACTGACAAAACCACCCCCACATCGGGGCTGGGGAATAGTCAGGCATTGGCACTAAAGGATAATATCTAACAAGCAGTAATACGAAACAGATGCACTTACTAACAGGCACTATAACATTACTTTAGAGAGCTACAAGAGAAGGACGTCATTCAAATTCATCAAAACCTTGGAGATAGTACTCTCTAATTCATGAAGAATTGCATCGTCTGGATCTGTACCGGAATGCGAAAGGACAATGCTACCTTTCGGGAAACCCTGGACCTTGACCTCACCTTTCTCATCGACCTCTGCCTCTGTACCGCCCCAAAGATGGGGTCTCCTGCCACGCTCATCAAGGAGCAGAACTCCATCCGAATCACCCTGAAAGATTGTATCGTTCAGATAACTGGACAGGACTGGCCGTCTACTCATTCCTTCAGGTTTCAGGCAAACCTAAATTTGTGCCCTCAGGTTGCCCTTAAGACTTGTGGAGAAGCTACCTGAATGCCAGGCTGTCACTGGCATCATGAGGTAGCTTCCATGCTGTATGAAAGCCATCTTGTCATCAGCCTCACCAAACTGTGGGTTGGTGATAAGTTTCAGGAACATCCCGTGCTCCTGCAACGGCATAAACACACTGAAGATTTAGATGTTCCTATCAAGAAGATCGGTTTTGATGTCCTGGGCATGGATGTCAATGTGATAGTGCTGGCAGGTTCTTGGTAAAGTGAACGTCTTAGAATGGAGGTAGGATGTATCCAATGAAACATGCCACTTTGGCACAATCCTACCCATGACCTGCAATGCTCCACAGTGAGTCGCAGGGCATGCTCCTTCAACACATTGTAGCCTTCCTCAACGCCCCTCAGCATTGTGCCGCTGTCAAACAAGGCCTTGAAGGCAGTCTCATCATCAGGGTTTTCCATTTTTGATTTATTTAGATCGAGCTTCATTATCTCAAATCAAAGAGTTCCCAGTAGGATTATCCGTTTCGCCATTGCAGAACATGGTATGGTTGTACGCACTTCCCTTTTGGAAAGCAACTCCACCCAAAAACTGGTCGGTGGTAGGGAAACCTTTCACTTTGCTTTCGTAGTAATGGAGAATGTGTTTTGTCGTCTTCAGTGGCATGGGACCTGCCTCAGCATCAGAGAAATGGTGAACAAGCATTGGCGACTGATCATCATCACTCATCTTTATTGCATTGCACACGTTACCTCCCCACTGAAGAACTGTCTTGTTTTTCTCCTGATCAATCTTCTTCCTTTTCATTGGCTTCTCCTTCACAACGGGATGCTTGTAGGTCATTCCACCATCACGATGACGATGCACTCATGATCCTCTGAATTCGAAAAGAAAGCTGTTCTGGTACCAGTAAGCAGTTTTGCGAAAGTATCCTTTGAGTAGACAGGAACATCTTTGTACAACTGATGATACCTCTCCCAGGTTTCATTCAAGGAAAGAGTAAGGTTGTAGGGATACTTTGCCTTCTTTTCATGGCTCCTCTTAACATGGTCATCAACAAGGATCCTCATCAGTCGTTCCTGGACAATCTGTTGCGGGTATCCAATACCAACGGAATGGAGCATACCGGACCTATGCTGCCCCTTTAAGTTCCTGTTTTTGTTAAGACATTCATCATAGAATTTTTGGAAGGCTTTGTTGTTTGTTTGGAAGAGAACAGAACCCCTGCCGCACAAGGAATAGGCAACCCTTTCCTTGAACAATCATGCACTACCGGGCGGCCCAGGTTGGAAGACCCTCAAGGCAAAGGTTCCTTTCTTGCCAAAGTGTGGATTGAAGGTGGACCAAAAGTGGACTGCAATCTCGCAGTACTGGGGGGTGGATTCACCAGGAGAGTTTAAGATCCCAAGGAAGTCTTCCATCTGCTAAAGTTTCTCCTCCTCGCACAAGGGCATGTCCTCACCATTGAGAACCTTTTTGAGATCCAAAAGACAATTGCAGCCATCGTTTTGATCTTTCTTTTTACCTTTGGCGACACAAACAGAAGACTCCTTGATCCTTCCCACAATAGACCCATGATCCAACCTGTTATTGGAGCTTATGTTACTCAGTACTGATGGCATTGGTGAGTTGTACAATATTTGGAGGTAAGTATTCAGGAAATTATGACTGCTATGGTGTATGATCTGCTCTCAGACTTGGCTGTTCAGGCGGTGGACTTGGAAGAACTGTATACCAAATTATGATCTGTTCAGATGGTGGACTTCAAATGAGCTGTGGACTTTGATCTGTATGGCTGTCGAATCCGGTACTATGGGTGAGTGGATGTTCAGGCGTTGGTCACACTGTGTTTGAGCTGTATGCCGAATCCGGCACTGTCTTTTTGAGCTGTATGCCGAATCCGGTACTATGGGTGACTATGGGTGAGTGGATGTTCTACCGCATACAGAAAAAGACTGGATGTTGAAGACTAGATGTTCAACCGCATACAGAAAAGGATGTTTGGCTGTTGTATTCACTAGTAGAGTATTACTGGTTGGGCTAGATGTTGACCTGTTTGGGTCCCTGGCTGAGTGATTGCCATGCAGTGAAAGGTGTGGACCCAGGACCTCAAGCATCTCAAGAAGAAACAGCAGTCGTCTACAACAACAGTACGTTCGCGTGTCAATGCAGTCTGGAATTCCATGGTTCCATTCCATTTATTTCCTCTAACACAACCCTTTTGACAAATGGTATGCACAGTGAAATCAACAGCGGACTATCTGTATGAAATTCGGAAGGAACTGAGGTCCTTGACAAGCGATGGTGCCAAGGACGGTGAAGGCACTGGTGATTCCAAGGCAAGTGGGTCTCTGTCGGGAGGCACGTTGTCTAGACTGGAGGATAAGCTAGACAAACTTGGAGATAAGTTGGATTCACTCGGTAAACAAACCACCTTCATGGTCAAAAACTGGGATGAGGACGATGAAGAAGACAGGAGGCTCAAGGAACGCCACGCCGAGAACGGAGGAGAGAAAGGGCATTTGAGCTACAAAAGCAACTTTTCGGGCGACAGCTCAAAGGGCCAGATTCGGTACACAGCTCAAAATCCATTTTCGCCAGATACCTCTGCAGCCAATCAGACCAACGTCCAGTCAGCATAAAATCCGCCACATCCGAGCATCCAGTGTTCCTGAGGTTCAACACCTCAAAATCCGCCTCGGCTGAACAGCCAATCAGCCCAGGAACATGCCCAAGCGCCTCGGCTGAACAGCCAATCAGCCCAGGAACTGCCCAAGCGCCTCGGCTGAACATCCAGTTTTCCTGAGGTTCAACACCTCAAAATCCACCTCAGTTGAACAGCCAATCAGCCCAGGAACATGCCCAAGCGCCTCGGCTGAACAGCCAATTTTCCTAAGGTTCAACACCTGAAATCCGCCTCGGCTGAGGAGCCAATCAGCCCAGGAACAGGTCCATCCGCAACAGGGGTCGAGGAACCAAGGAGCTGTGCAACCAAGGGAACGAGCAGCCATACAGCCAAACAGCCAAGTAGCCCAGGAACATGACCAAGCGCCTCGGCTGAGTAGCCGCGGCCAAGCAGCCACTCAGCCAGGGAGCCAAGCAGTCACTCAGCCAGGGACCCAAACAGGTCAACATCTAGCCCAACCAGTAATACTCTACTAGTGAATACAACAGCCAAACATCCTTTTCTGTATGCGGTTGAACATCTAGTCTTCAACATCCAGTCTTTTTCTGTATGCGGTAGAACATCCACTCACCCATAGTCACCCATAGTACCGGATTCGGCATACAGCTCAAAAAGACAGTGCCGGATTCGGCATACAGCTCAAACACAGTGTGACCAACGCCTGAACATCCACTCACCCATAGTACCGGATTCGACAGCCATACAGATCAAAGTCCACAGCTCATTTGAAAGTCCACCATCTGAACAGATCATAATTTGGTATCATACAGTTCTATCCATACGCTCCACCGCCTGAACAGCAGTCTAGAGCAGATCATACACCATAGCAGTCATAATTTCCTGAATACTTCCTCCAAATATTGTACAACTCACCAATGCCATCAGTACTGAGTAAATAAGCTCCAATAACAGGTTGGATCATGGGTCTATTGTGGGAAGGATCAAGGAGTCTTCTGTTTGTGTCGCCAAAGGTAAAAAGAAAGATCAAAACGATGGCTGCAATTGTCTTTTGGATCTCAAAAAGGTTCTCAATGGTGAGGACATGCCCTTGTGCGAGGAGGAGAAACTTTAGCAGATGGAAGACTTCCTTGGGATCTTAAACTCTCCTGGTGAATCCACCCCCCAGTACTGCGAGATTGCAGTCCACTTTTGGTCCACCTTCAATCCACACTTTGGCAAGAAAGGAACCTTTGCCTTGAGGGTCTTCCACCTGGGCCGCCCGGTAGTGCATGATTGTTCAAGGAAAGGGTTGCCTATTCCTTGTGCGGCAGGGGTTCTGTTCTCTTCCAAACAAACAACAAAGCCTTCCAAAAATTCTATGATGAATGTCTTAACAAAAACAGGAACTTAAAGGGGCAGCATAGGTCCGGTATGCTCCATTCCGTTGGTATTGGATACCCGCAACAGATTGTCCAGGAACGACTGATGAGGATCCTTGTTGATGACCATGTTAAGAGGAGCCATGAAAAGAAGGCAAAGTATCCCTACAACCTTACTCTTTCCTTGAATGAAACCTGGGAGAGGTATCATCAGTTGTACAAAGATGTTCCTGTCTACTCAAAGGATACTTTCGCAAACTGCTTACTGGTACCAGACAGCTTTCTTTTCGAATTCAGAGGATCATGAGTGCATCGTCATCGTGATGGTGGAATGACCTACAAGCATCCGTTGTGAAGGAGAAGCCAATGAAAAGGAAGAAGATTGATCAGGAGAAAAACAAGACAGTTCTTCAGTGGGGAGGTAACGTGTGCAATGCAATAAAGATGAGTGATGATGATCAGTCGCCAATGCTTGTTCACATTTCTCTGATGCTGAGGCAGGTCCCATGCCACTGAAGACGACAAAACACATTCTCCATTACTACGAAAGCAAAGTGAAAGGTTTCCCTACCACCGACCAGTTTTTGGGTGGAGTTGCTTTCCAAAAGGGAAGTGGTACAACCATACCATGTTCTGCAATGGCGAAACGGATAATCTACTGGGAACTCTTTGATTTGAGATAATGAAGCTCGATCTAAATAAATCAAAAATGGAAAACCCTGATGATGAGACTGCCTTCAAGGCCTTGTTTGACAGCGGCACAATGCTGAGGGGCGTTGAGGAAGGCTACAATGTGTTGAAGGAGCATGCCCTGCGACTCGCTGTGGAGCATTGCAGGTCATGGGTAGGATTGTGCCAAAGTGGCATGTTTCATTGGATACATCCTACCTCCATTCTAAGACGTTCACTTTACCAAGAACCTGCCAGCACTATCACATTGACATCCATGCCCAGGACATCAAAACCGATCTTCTTGATAGGAACATCTAAATCTTCAGTGTGTTTATGCCGTTGCAGGAGCACGGGATGTTCCTAAACTTATCACCAACCCACAGTTTGGTGAGGCTGATGACAAGATGGCTTTCATACAGCATGGAAGCTACCTCATGATGCCAGGACAGCCTGGCATTCAGGTAGCTTCTCCACAAGTCTTAAGGGCAACCTGAGGGCACAAATTTAGGTTTGCCTGAAACCTGAAGGAATGAGTAGACGGCCAGTCCTGTCCAGTTATCTGAACGATACAATCTTTCAGGGTGATTCGGATGGAGTTCTGCTCCTTGATGAGCGTGGCAGGAGACCCCATCTTTGGGGCGGTACAGAGGCAGAGGTCGATGAGAAAGGTGAGGTCAAGGTCCAGGGTTTCCCGAAAGGTAGCATTGTCCTTTCGCATTCCGGTACAGATCCAGACGATGCAATTCTTCATGAATTAGAGAGTACTATCTCCAAGGTTTTGATGAATTTGAATGACGTCTTTCTCTTGTAGCTCTCTAAAGTAATGTTATAGTGCCTGTTATTAAGTGCATCTGTTTCGTATTACTGCTTGTTAGATATTATCCTTTAGTGCCAATGCCTGACTAGTCCCCACCCCGATGTGGGGGTGGTTTTGTCAATTTGCTGATGGGTGCGTTGGATTTTTGTTACTTGTTTGTTCGGGGTCCCCTTGTTTGTTCTCCTTTCGAATGGATTTAGGTGGGCTGGCTGGCGTGCATAATGTTTCACATTTTGAGCGGATGTTTCATCAGCCTACGATTCAAACATGGAACCAGATGTTTTCTATCATTTTTCAAAGCCAAACATCCCACATCAATTCGAAACTCCATTCCCAAGTCAAACATGCTAGCTACTACAACACGAAACATTGAACCCTACTAAAAAAGCCCGCAGGATTTTTCAGATGGAGAGATGCATTTTCGAGGAATTCAACGAGCAGATCCAATACATTAGGAGGCACCTGAACAACACCATTGGAAAGTGTAAGTTGTTTGTTCTTTGTTGGCCTAGCTGATTCTTGATCTCCGGCAAACATGGCTGTTATTGAAAAAAAAAAATCTTTATAACGGATATGGCCCCAATGGACGGATCATCACTGTGCTGCAGCCGAAGCTTTGGGTAACCGCTCCCGGCCGAAGCGGGGATTGGTTTCACAGGAGACCACCACTGGTTCCCTCACCGGCACCGCACTCCCTAGGGGAGATGGTGCATTTAAAGTTACATGTAAGTATAAATGGCATATCTCGTGTGGATTTGCCGGACATATATTCCTAACTGATTTGTGGGTTTGGCCGAAGATTCAGGGAGAGTTACTTGGTGGGTTGGATGGAGGGAGAAAAGGAGGGGCGGAAGCGGACGCAGGAGGGAATTGGAAGATGGGAAGTGGAGGTCCCGCATCAATTACCAGTCTCAAGCTGTGTGGCGTAACTCTCTTCAAGGACAGGTTCCCATGTGTTGATCCATTGTCGGATTGATGCTGTGGGCCATTGGATCTTGTGTTGATTGGTGTTTGGAGAAGCCATCATGTCCTCTGTTTCCGTTGTATTTGTCATATAGCAGCTGAAGTTCATGGATAACCTGTCGGTTGGCTGCTGTGCCTTGGTTTGTGCTCTTTGCCATGCCGATCATGATTCCTGGCCTCCAGAGTTCGAACCACTGGGTGAGCAATTCTTGAATAATCCCTGTGACCAGGTTTGGCCATTTTTCCGATGTGTTTTGAGATTGCATTCCTTGAGGTGTTGATCCTGGCGTTGCGCCCACTGTTTGGATAGTGGTCCCTTGAGGAGGGCAACATGCTGTTATTGCAAATGCCTCGTCACATCTTTGGCTTGCTTGTTCTCATTATTATTTCATATACCAGGGAAAAGTAGGTATGGTCCCCTATTTAATCAGTGTCCAAGTGCATCGGTTTGTTTGTTTGCACTCGGCGAAGACCCGCGTTCCGGGGAGATTCCCGACAACTCACTGCTCTATGGCAGATTCTTCATCGATCTCATGGTGGGAGAGCTGAAAAAAAGATTCATGGCAAGTCCAGGAGAAATAGAGATTACTACAGCTGGGAGTACTATGGACACGTTGAGTGGGTGGCGCAGATGGCAACCGCAGCCACACTCATATGGGAGAGAGCGGAGCTTGGTGTGGCAGTGGATGGGCTCCTCGGTACAAACCTCGACCAACAGGACTTCGTTAATAGGCAAATTGGGCTATCAAACAAGTATGGAGAATTCTGATCAGTATTATTCCAAAGTTGGTTCATCGATGACAACAAGGTGGATCTACTTCACACATGGGAAAGGGATTGTGGGCACTACAAACACCTTCTTCCCCAAAATGGTCAACCGTGATAGAGAGAATCAACATTCCACTGTCAGACCAGCTTTGAGATCCAGGACAAGCCAGACAAATAGCAAAAGAAGCAGTCAAGTGAGTGCCTGATCCTGCCACGGAAATCATTCAACCGTTTCCTTCAACAAAGAGGACTCTCTGACTTCTTTTTTGTCTCGTTCAAATTCTACCAGGGTTGCAAGGTACTCGAGGAATACTCTGTGGCTCAGGATAGTGATAGCGTTGTGCCTTCTCTCAGTGGTGAAACCAGCGACTCTGATATCACTACAATGTCATCTTCTGGCATTTAGTACGAACATTG